ATATGATAATATTAATAATAATATGATCATAGTATTATTGATAACATACATATAGTATGATAAAATAATAATAATAATAGTATAATAATATTAATAATAATATGATCATAATATTATTGATAACATACATAGTATGATAAAATAATAATAATATAATAATACTACTTATAATATTAGTAATATAACATTAATAATTAATAATACTACTAATATTATAATATTAATAATTAATAATACTACTTATAATATTAATAATATAATAATACTACTTATAATATTAATAATTTTTCATTAGACTTGATAGTAATTTTCATAGCTTCAGATACTGGTTTCGTTTGCGCATAATTGATAATATTTAAAATAACGTGCGTACGACTCACAAATAAAATGTCGTCCTTGAAGGATTAATAGATGAAAGTGACAAGAATATCTTGATTCACTTCATCCCTCACGCGGTGGCGAAACCTTTTTCTAATAGTAACGAGTTAATTGACCATCCCTGGTTAAAGGGTTAATAAAAATGAAGATTGAATTAATTTTGTTCCCCATTTTTAATCGCGAGATTTACAAGCTACCGTCATTCACGTCTGCGAAATAGCAGAATTTTCATTTCCACGTATACGCTAATCTCTTAAATCTTCTTAAACTTCGGGCATTATTTTAACCCACTCCCCCTCTTTCCTCTCTCTCCTCTTCAGAAGTGAAATCACCGTGTGCAACAAAAGAGAAAATATCTAGTAAGCTTGTCCTTGCAACGCACATCTATCACGATTTTAACACTGCGACTAAGACATGGAGGCATTAAAGTAAAAAAAAAAGAAAAACCTTGAAATACAATATACTACGCGCAAGTGTTTATTTGCGAAAAATCATTTAAGTCTGTTTTACATCCATGAAATTTTTCACGATTAAGGACAAAAGATACAACTCCACTCTTGACAGTATTTTTTTTTTTTTTTTTTTTTTTTTAGTTAAGATATGTAATATACGTAAACAAACATTCTACATCGTTTGGCGCTAGTTTTGATGCAAATCCAATAAAAAAGGATCGCGTCGTTACAAAACAGTTTTAATGCTGCGTTTATTACTGTTTCGTGCAACACGGACGCAGATCTTGATTTGCTTCTATTTTGCGTTACACAGAAAAAAAAAAAGCGACGCACGATCGGTAATTATTCGTAATTACCAACTACGTTCCATCTGATGAACGATCTTTTTATGACAGTTCTTTCATTTGACATTCTCAAATGTGACTCGGAGATGAGGATATTTCCACAGATAACGATGACGAGCAGGCTCAGCAATAATATTATTTCTAATGTATCTGTGATATTTATTAAACTAATCGGTGTCACACTTACGTGATTTATTTAATTCAATGCGAATTACTTTAAAGTACGCTTTTAATTAAATATCACTTGTTCGAAATTTCAAACAAAAACTTTATTAATAATCACTTTACTCCCATGTTTAATATTAATAGAACACAACGAACATGCATAGGATTGTGCATAATTAGAGAAAAGAGCGATACTGTTCTTTGTATATACATACATTGGTGCAAATCAGAAACAGCTGACACGTTTAAAAAAAAGTCACCAAAATTAGAAATTAAACTTGATCATGTCAACAACTACTGCAGGGTGGCCACTGAAACATTGAAGAGTTTAAATATTTATCATAATATTTATTTTATTATTTAACATTATATTATTTATTATTTATTTTATATTTATTTATTTTATATTATTTATTTTGTATTATTTATTTAATATTTATTTTATATTTATTTTATTATTTAACATTATAATTTATTTATTATTTTATTTGGAAATTTATTTTTCTATTTTTCATTGTTTTATTTTATTTATTTTATTTGGGAAACATGTTATAAAAGTTATTTTCGTTTTATATCATTCAGTCTTTCAGTGACCACTCTCCAGTTATTACGTGGAAATGTATATTTATTTATTTATTTTCTCTGACGTCAAGTCAACGTCGGTAATTTCGTAAACAGTTTTCTGTAATTTACTCGCAGTTGGTAAAAACGGAATTTCGCCCCTCTTGTCGCAAGGTCCTCAATTATAAACTGATCATTTTGGTAGTTCCAGTGTGGGGCTTAATTAACGAACACTGTACACCACGTAGGATATTACGGTCGATCATAATTTTCACGCGACACGCATTAACTCCCCGATAACGGGTTCGAAACACCACCGACTAGATATACTGTCCTCTCTTGCTTGTTTGATTTAAAATCACCTTTTCTCTCTCTCTCTCTCTCTCTTTCTTCAATTTTTTATTTATTCGTTTTTTTCGCTTTTTTTGGCTTTTTTCTCGTCTGTTTGCAGCGAACACTCGCTGGCAACGTTTGATACGACGTGCACGTTCACGGATCCGTGAACTCGCCGCGAGCACTCCGTAAGATTAAATTTGAAACATTAATAACAGCCGCCGAAAACGCGAAAGAAATGTGGCCACGTTCCCTCGAGTTTCCAAGTTGAAGTTTACGTTGAATTCTCGCGTTTGAAACGCGTTTTTTCTTCCCACGTCTCTTCGCTTTCGGCTTAAAAAATTCCATCGTCGTGCGCGAACGAGCGCTTGATACGAGGGAAAGAAATTGAAAGTGATAAAAAAAAAAAAAGTGAGAAGAAAGAGGAAGATTGGCACGAGGAGAGAGAAATTTCAGCGACTTCAGGCTAATGAAAAATTGTAAACAAATACTATTGGAAGCAAGATCTTCACGTTTGTTCGAACCCTTTCAAACATTTCTGAGTATGAGAATTTCAAGAACTCTGAGTGTTCAATCAAATTACTAAATATCTAGATACAACAAATTGAAAACTTATCTTTAAACGTGTACTTTTTAATACGTTTATTCAATCTATTGTAATATGTTGTCTCTGATAAGTAAATTAATTATTTTAAGGTCAAGAAGATTATCTATGGATAGATGGATAGATACTAATATGGAAATAATATTAATATATAATACTGAAAAAATATGTATAAAGTTGTAATATTGTAAAAATTCAAATATAATAAAAAATTTTCCTCCTGGTCAAATTTGCTGTCATCTTGAAGATTAAAGTCACCCCTTTAGAACGATTTCTTAAAACTTGTGGTGCGGCTTTTCTTTCGTCAGTTTGTTTGAACTTTGATCGCTTGGATAGACCAAATGTTAGGATTTCTGAATTTTTGAATTTTTATCATCAATAAAATGAGGAAAAACATCGTACGTAGCGCGAGAAGATTTTAATCTTCAATATCACTGTCGATCTAGTCGCAAAAGAAATTTTTTGATGTTTTTGCAGACGTTTGAATTTTGACAAAAATCATCTGTCCCTAATATTCAAACTTTAATGTAACTATGAAGAAAAAAATCGTGCAGCAAGTTTCATGTGGTCGTTGCAAAGAAAAAATTACAATTTTTAACATCGTCGTCGTTTTAATCGACGAAAGAAACGTTCTTAACGTTTTTACAAACGTTTGAATTTTGAGAAAAGTTCAAGACACCTCGACATTCCATCTATCCCTAACGTCCAAAGTTTAATAAACCGGTGAAGAAAAAAAAAAAAATTATACAGCAAGTTTTAAGTGGTCGTCGCAAAGAGGAGAGACTTCGATCTTCGAGACCGTGTTGGCCCCCTTAGCCACGAACAGAATTGGATGTTAGAAGTTTCACAATTTTCCAGGAGAAAAGTATTCTTTCCTCCCCCGCCGCACAATGTAAAATCATCTTCGAAAGAAAAACGAGAAGGCTTTGAGAGTAAAAACTCGACGCTTTAAAACGAGACGAAGAACAATTTTTCGTTGTCGTGCAATTTTTCTTTACCAAATTACAACCAAGTCAATCAGTATTGTAGAGATATAACATAAATAATGTTTATTTAATAGTAGTGATGATAATAGAACAACAAATAATTAAACAAGACAAATAACATTCGATCAACGCGAATTAACAATTTAACAACAGAATTGACACTTTTTCACAGCTCTTTCTGAATGCTCTGTGACGATTTTTACGATTCGGTTTTTCAACTCGACTCTGGTCTTCTTAAAAAAGAAAATGCTCTATGCCTACGTTGGACATCTCGCATCATATTCATATTTTATCATATTTCTATTGTAGTGACTGTGTTGATAATTATTCTCAATCATACAAATTTAAACTAACGGTACTACAAATTTAAACAATAACTCTGTATTTAATTTATGTAAAAATATTATAATTTTAACAAAATATATAATTACACATATTATAATTTAACAAAATATATAATGATTAATGATAAATAACAAATATCAAACAACGAAAGTTAAATAACGAATGAAGAATTTCGTAACGAATGGTTACAATATATATATATATACACACTATTATAGCGACCTCTGAAGAATTTAGATCAACGACATCTACGTTCATTAAATCGTTCCGTCGAGACGTGTATTTAATATAAACAATAGAATATTTACATATGTATATGTATAAATGTAATAAACATTTGTATATTGAATATTTAAAAATTATAAATATAATAAACAATAGAATATTTAAAAATTGTTAAACAATAGAATATTTAAAAATTATCACCATGGAAATGTTTACAGACACTTATATATATATTGTAACCACAGTAGAAATTATTCATTCGTTATTTAACTTTCATTATTTAATCTTCGTTAAATCATCAGTAATTCTATATTTTGTTACGTTGATAATATTTCTATATAAACTACTAAAATTAATTATTATTATTATTTATTCGTAGTATTGTGATATAAATTTATTTATCATAATAATCATTACGATCAACAAACAGGCCATCTGTTATATTTAAACATAACTGAAATTACAACTACAGATTAATTATAATAACTACAACACTACAATATTGCTGATGTATACATATCGACAGAGAAATTTCCCCGTTTCTCTGCCAGAGAGGTGTTTCTTCTTCTCGTTCGCTCACGCGTCTCTTGTATCTCTTGTATTTCAGCTGCGTCGTATCGTGGACCCGGCGAGGACGAGGACAAGGACTCGTACGCGGCCAGGATCGCGTTCACGGGGAACTCGCGGATCCTAGGACCGATCTGCATAGTGGTGGGCGCCCTTATGCTCGCCCTCGGCGTCCTCCTCTGCATGCTGACTCGCCGGGCGAGAAGAAGGGAGCGCAGGGTTGGCTTCCATTGCCCTCTTCACGGCGATTTTTACCCCCTGAGCCCTGTCCAGGGTGTCAAGATGCTCGGTGAGTCGAGATTCATTCTCCTCCTCCATTCCATTCAATGATCATTTTCATTTTCATGGACATTGTGTGTAATTATATTTATTGTACATAATTGTAACACAATATATACAATATTACAATATTATATACAATTGTAACACAATATATACAATATTATAATATTATATATAATTGTAATACAATTTATATAATTTTATATAACGCATAATAAATAATAAATAATATATATTATTTATTATCTGTTATAATACATATATATACGAATAAAAAAAACTTTACATAAATAAAATTCAAAATACAGTACTTTTTGTAACATTTTGATGCGTAAAACAATTTTCTATCAACATTATTATAATATTATACATTGTATATAATTATAATATAATATGTATAATTTTATATAATGCATAATAAGTAATAAATAATATTATATATATATATATATATATATATATATATATATATAAATAAAAAAACAAAATTCAAAATACTTTTTGTAACATTTTGATGCGTAAAATAATTTTCTATCAACATTATTATAATATTATACATTTTGTATAATTATGATTCAATATATATAATTTTATATAATGCATAATAAGTAATAATATTATATATATATAAATTTCAAAATACAGTACTCTCTGTAACATTTTGATGTATAAAACAATTTTCTATCAACATTATTATAATATTATATTATATATAATCATTGTATATAATTATAACACAATATACATAATTTTATATAATGTGTGATAAATAATATTATCTATATAAATAAAAAAACATAAAATTTAACATATATATATTAGAATTCTAAGAATAATTCCAAGAAATTGAGAGAAACACGAACTCTCTTCTATCATTTTTTTTCAATTCAATCACTGTACATTTTTGTACAAATTTGTATTTTTGGTTATAAAAAGTGCTGTATTTTAAATTTTATACGTTTTTTTATTTATATATATATATATATATGGTATTATAATTGTATACAATGATTATATATAATGTAATATTATAATGATGTTGATAGAAAATTGTTTTATGCATCAAAATGTTACAAGAGTATATATATATATATATATATGTATATATACTCTTGTAACATTTTATACTGTTTGTACTAGACAGATACTGACAGACAGTTTTGCACTAGTTATTTATCAGAAGTTATGCCTTGTTCCTCGACCGTCGGAATTTACGCCTCGTCGTTCGTTCCATTGTTGAATATATACACGTCGTTGAGAAACAACGTCGATCAAAGTTTCGACCGTGAAGCATAACACGTGCGCGTAGACAAGCGAGCTGCTTCGAGCAGTAGCTTTGAATTCGCGCATTCCATTTATACTCGTTTCCCTCTCGAGTGCGATCCGATGAACGCGTCTGTCTGAAAGAAGTAGGAATAATTTTCCCGACGTGTCTTCATTCACCACCGCCACTCCACGCACACCGCCGAGGCTTTATCCCGAGACTCTGAATTTCAAAACCACGCAGCGAACGAAAGACTCGTTCCCTGGCAATTGTAAAGCCGAGTTCCAAAGGAAAATCACGTTAATGTCGCGCTACGTTTATCAATCATCGTCCGGTTGTCACGTCACTTGGCAGATTCACGCGGTGAAAATCGATAACGGCGATTGTTCTTGCACTTCGCGAGGAAATCTTGAAGAGATCTCGAATCGAGTTGAATTTGACAAAGAAATAGGAAGCGTCTAGGTTTCTAAATGTTTCAAGTTACCCAAACGTCCGAACTTGAAGGATTTTTAGGTTTCTGAATTTTTAAATTTGGTCCCCGAATCTCTGAGTTTCTCGGCTTCCAAGACTTAGTTGGATTTAAAAATTTCTCTATGCTTCTGAATTTTCAAATTTCGGAAATTGTGAGTGCATTTCTAGATTTAAAGATTTCCAAGATTTTCTAAATTTCGACGTTTCGAAATTTGCAAATTTCTGAATTCCAAGGTATCGAAATTTCTGATTTTCTAAATTTTTAAATTTGGACGTTTACAATTGGCCCTGAATTTCTGAATTTCTAAGTTTCCAAACTGTTGGACTTGAAAATTTCTATGCTTATGCAACTTTCACATTCCAAAAGTTGTAGGTTTCAGAATTTTTAAATTTAAAATATTCCAAATTATTAAATTTCGAGGTTCCGAAATTGCCAAATTTCTGAATTTCGACACTTCAGAATTTCTGAGTTTTGTAAATTTTAAAATTTGGACATTTCCAAGTTCCTGTATTTTTAAATTGTTTAAATTCGAATCTCTAAATTTAAAAGTTTCCTTTTGTTCAAATTTCGAGGTTTCAAGCTTTCTAAATTTTTAACTATAGACATTTCCGACATTTCTAAATTTCCAAGCATCCAAATTTTTTAATTTAAAAATTGTCTAAATTTCCAAATTACCACATTTCTAAATTTTGAAAATTTCTATGTCTCCGAACTTCTAATTGTAAGTCTAAAGATTCTTGAGTTTCTAAATTTAATTTTTTTAAATTTAAAAATTTCTACGTTCGTAAATTTCTAAATTTCCAAATTATCTCTAAATATCTCTAAATCTTCAAATTTCTGAATTATATCTCTAAATTTAAATATTTTGACAAACGCAAATGGTAATGTAATGGTAATAATATTGTAATAAATATATTATGTGTAATTTATACAATTTTATATATATATAAATTAATTAATAATCAATAAATAAGTATAATAATATATATATATATTAGTTATATAATATATATTATTTATACGTTTTATATATATAATATTATATATAAGTAATATATATTAATTAATTAAGTAATTGTAATACAATTATTAATTATATATAATACAATTATTAATTAAGTATGTAATACAATTATTAATTATATATAATAACGAATATTTACATTTACAATAACACAAATATAAACAATCTCGAACACCTACAAACCAAAGTGAATCTTCTTTCACTTCTTTCTACATTGGCTCTGTTTTCATCCAATCCGGCGAACGCCGATAATCGGTTTTAACGCGATTAAAGCCAACGAACCGTGTTTTTGACGAAACAACGAAGTCCCGGTAGTCGTTGCAACCGACTTTCGTGGAAGATTTCGCCGAGACGTTCGTCGAAGACAGTTGACAGTTTTCCTCGTCAGATGATGAACGTCATCGGTGAACGTTTGTCCTATCCTGTCTTAGGAAGCCTATCGGAAACGTTAGTTCATCGCATCTTGTTCCAGTTTGTGTCAATTGCTCTGAATTCGGGACGAGGCTGGATCAGGGTTGCGGTAGCCTAACTGGATTGCCGGAATTCAGGCTAATACGAGCCTATCAAATTATTCCGTTGGTCACTCGGACGCGTTTTGCCACACCTTCTCCGTGAAACGAATGACGAACTATCCCCCCATGACGTGTATTAATATATTTTTTTTTTTTCTCCTTGAATTTTTCCGAAGAAGAGATCGAGATAGTCGTCCGCGAACCAAACCGATCTATTCTTCGTTGAAACTTCCTTGTTACGAAGCGAGTTATTCCGCGAATGTTTGATCGTAAAAATATTAGGAACAGTTCGCGATTATTATTACAGATCTTATATTTAGTAATCCTCCGAGCTCGATTTGTTCAATGTTTTTTTGTTCAGTCATTATTATTTTATTAAATTTTATTTACTTTTTATTTAATTATTATTATTTACTTTTTATTTAATTATTAGTATTTAATTTTTATTTAATTATTATTTAATTTTTATTAAATTTTATTACTTTTTATTTAATTATTAGTATTTAATTATTATTTAATTATTATTATTTAATTTGTATTAAATTTTATTTACTTTTATTAAATTTTATTAAAATTTATTTAATTTTTATTAAATTTTATTACTTTTTATTTAATTATTATTATTATTTAATTTTTATTAAATTTTATTACTTTTTATTTAATTATTATTATTTAATTTTTATTCAATTATTATTATTTAATTTTTATTAAATTTTATTTAATTTTTATTTAATTTTATTTAATTTTTATTTAATTATTATTATTATTTATTATTATAGTTATTATTATTTCTAATTTATTTCATTATTATTTATTATTGTAATAATTATTACTTGTTATGTATTTTATTTTTATATTATTATTATTTATTGTAATTTATTTTATTGTTATATTATTATTACTTATTATTCTAATTTATTTTATTATTATATTATTATCATTTATTTTAATTTATTTTATAATTTGTCAAAGTCGCGTCAAATGAGATCTCGAAGATCACGTCAGAGTTTTATAGCAAATTTATGTTGCCAAAAAAGACAAATGTTTCAATACTAAAACTGCCAGAATGATCGAACACGATTCATAACTTCCCGTAGGAATTTTATAGAAATTTCACGGAATTTTGTATTTTAATAACTCATTGTCAGAAATTGCACTAAATTTTTGTCTGTAGACGCTGTAATTGTTTCATATGCAGTGAATGTAGAAAAATGTTCGTACACTCGATGGATCACAATGTTTAACACTGTCGGAACGATCGAACAATTTTCCACTGGAATTTTACAGAATATTTCGGGGCAGAAAAGATGTCTCTCTTTGATAAAATTTTTACGGTGGCACTTAACGTGCCAGGGACAGATAATAACGCGTGTAAAAAGCCGAAGACTTGGTCAAATCGTGTTCAATTATTCACCGTTGTTGCTATATTTAACAAGGTTCATTGAAACCGAAGGCGGCGCATCGTAGCCACTTAAAATAGAAACAAGGTTTCAACTTGCGTCTTGAAACACGTCCGCAATAGGAAATTTATCCTTCGATAAAAAGTTTTCCCGATGAAACGTCAAATGAATAGAACTGGAATAGAATAGGCATGTGATTTTAATGTGAATTGACGAAACTTCCAAGGTGCATAATCCTAATATAAAAAGAAAACTCGCAGGGAATCTTGTTTGAAGAACATATTTATTCAAATACCTGCGACGTGAAAAAGAGTCGCTTGCACTTGAAAGATTTT